CTGCCCTGCCTCTCCGTGGTATGGCTAGTTGGCACACTTTTTAGGATGCAGGGGAATAAGAGTTGTGCTGAGTAGGATATTTACTTGACACCCTGATGAAGCCAGAAGTGAGTGTCCTCAGACTCAGCATTGAGGCACCTTCCTTGTTAATGTCCTTTGTCCCTGAGTCTGAACCATCCTCACATGAGAGCTAGGATCACGAGAGTCTACTCTGCAGTGGAGTTGGGGGCAGGAGTCATCACTGTAGTGCACGTAGTTTGTGATGATTCTGCATTACATCCTCAGTAACTGTTGTTTCTGCACTCAGGTTTGCTGGTGCTTTCACTTTGCGGCAGCGAATGCTCAACTTTGTCCAGAATATTCAGTACTACATGATGTTTGAAGTGATGGAACCAACCTGGCACATCCTTGAGAAAAACCTGAAATCTGTGAGTTTCTGCTCTGCAGAAATACGTGTAGCATCTGAAAGGCTCTTTCCCAGCCAGAGTGCGTTTCATAGCACCAGCATGTGCTAGCCAGGTGTCATGGTGGCCACAGAAATGTCCACAGCCTCACATCTACCTGCTTCCTTTTCATGTGCAGACAGGGCTTCCGTCCAGCATGGTACATGAGCGAGGAGACAGAAAAAGACGGGGTAGCGACATAGTCTCTAAGAGATCACAGGCCTGTAGAGACAGTGAAAATGTAGAGGCCGTAGAGTACCAAACAGCACTGAAAGCCACATGCACAGTAACTTCAGGGAAGTCTCAGGCCTTTGTTTGCAGGCTTCCAACATTGACGACGTGCTTGGCCACCACACAAGTTTCCTCGACAACTGCCTGAAGGAGTGCATGCTGACCAACCCTGAGCTGCTGAAGGTTTTCTCCAAGCTCATGTCTGTGTGTGTCATGTTCACCAACTGTATGCAGGTGAGGGCAAGGAGGCAACATGGGAATGTTTAATGTCCAGGCTATGGCTGCATGCCGCTCTGTTCCACAGCTTCTGCCCTTCAGAGCTCCTGGTCTTTGTGGCCAGTCCATCCCATCTGGCAGGGGAGCTATTTAGGGGCCCTGCCTTATTTCTCATAGTATTCCTGGCACTGGTCTCTGTCTTAGGCCTCTTCTGAATGCATTTGCATTCATTTGTCAAAACTTAGTATTAAAGTTGTCACAAGCACTTGTCCAAAATAATGCAGAAAATATCAGGGGACAAAAGAGTAGCCCAAGGACTCTGGACTGGAGGATGCTGGGAGCCAAAGTGCTCCAAAGGCAGCACTTTGGAGCAGATAGGAGGTAGGAGATATAGGTGGTAATGGGTTATAGAGGAGACAGGGCTGTGAAACTCATTCCTTAGGTGTTTAGAGGCCATGATAATTCCCATATAGGAAAACATGAAACAACTATGATTTTATGAAAATCAGTTGATAATCATTGAGAAATGTAGGCTTACAAATGCTGAGAACTAACATCCTCTCTACAGCTTTGTGTCCCTGTGTCTCTGGGTTGGGTACTGTGTACCTGTAAGTACTTGCTGTCTTGTTATGGTATGCTGTGTCTAGAACTAATCATAACCTTTCCTCATGACCTATCCTTAGAAATTTACACAGAGTATGAAACTGGACAGTGAGCTGGGCCGACTGACACTAGAGCAGGGTAGTGCACAGGGGCCACCCACAGAGACTGAGCGGACTGAGAATCGCCCCCGGAAGGAGCCTACCAGGAAGGTATGTGACCTTGGGGCTTATCCAGAAAGACCTTCTTTCTAGTCAGCTATGGCAGTGTTGGCATTGCAAACGTAAGAAAATAAAACCTTAATCAAAACAAATATAAAGCCAGGTATGGTGGCATATACCTGGGATTCCAGCACTTGGGAAGTGGAAGCAGGAGGATTGGTTGTTCAGAGCCAGCTTCAGCTCCATAACAAGTTTGAGACCAGACCTGTCTCCAAAAAAGACAAACAAAAAGAGCAAACAAACAAACAAACAAAAAATTAACCATTTTTAACCCTTTCCTGGTTGTCACCCATGTGATGGGGGAAAAAAACGGGTCCTGCAGTTAGGTTCAAAACACAGCCACTAGTCTTTCCACTGAGCCTCCAGACATCTGGTCTCCAGAGTGTGGCCAAGTCATCCATACAACAGTATTGTGTGGAGTAGGCCTGACTGCCCTAGAACACAGAGCTTTGCTTGCCTGCAGTTGATGCTTAGTGCTTATCCCTGTTCAGAACAGTCAGTTGGTGCAGATGACCTATATGCTTCCTTTAGGATTCATGGCCACAAGTTGGCAATTGGGAGATGGTCTGGGAGCAGGTGAGAGTCAGAAGCCAAATACAAAAGGAGATAAGGTCGGGCTGGGAGATGGCTCAGAGGTTAAGAGCATTCTCTGCTCTTCCAAAGGTCCTGAGTTCAATTCCCAGCAACCACATGGTGGCTCACAACCACCTGTAATGGGGTCTGGCGCCCTCTTCTAGTCTGAAGACATACATACAGACAGAATATTGTATACATAATAAATAAATATTTTTTAAAAAAAAGGAGATAAGGTCTATCCTCCTTGCTTCTTAGTGGTCAGGAAGAAAGCACACTAGTGCTGAAATCAGACCTGTAGAGAGCATATAGTACCCCACTGTTGGTTCTCGATGCTGTGCGCCTGGAGAAGCCCCAGTGGGCCTGTTGCCCTAAGTATTTCTCCATTTGCTGTGTTCTGATAACCCAGCTTCCCATCTTATGTAATAACAGGAGCATCACAACTTCTTTCATTAAAAACTGGGGAGACTGAGTATGTTTGTATGTACCTGCAGTCTCACCATTTGGAGGGTAGAGGCAGGAGGATCAAGCATTCAGGGTGGGTTCCAAGCCAGCCTGGACAACATGAGACTCTGTCTCCAAAAAAAGAACCAAAAGCCAAAAAAGGAATCCTGTAATTCCTACACTCAGGAGGCTGTGATAGGGGAATCACAAGCTAGCCTGAGCTTTGGTAACAACAGTCTGTCTCAAAACTAAGGAAAGTAACATAAATAGGGAAGGATATCCTTGTAGCTGGCAGAGAGGCTAAGTGCCTACCTGGTAACTGATACCGAGCTCCCTGGGGTTTGTCTCCAGCACCTGTCCGAGCATGTGGATACTCCTCAGCTGGCCTCTGGGTTCGAGGCCACCATCAATAACTTTGACAAAAACTTTTCTGCCCATCTTCTTGATTTGCTGGACCGACTAAGCATCTACAGCACCAGTAACTATGAACATGGCATGGCCAGCGTCATCTCCAGGTCAGTAATACCCTTCCTGACTTTGAAGCCTAGCCCTGTCATCTGCTTTCACTGTAACTCTTGCTCCCCATATCTCTAGCAGCAGGCATCCTAATCTGGGCAAAGGTGGGAGAAGGAAGAGGGGCCAGCTGTGACTACTCTGGTGAAGGGGTGTCTGCTTATCACTGGGATAGGAAGGGGCTCTGACTTCATCCAGGAATTGGATACCATCCCTGAACTACCCTTTGAAAAGTGCTAGTTTGTACACTGGAATCATCTAGTACATTGTACCGTCCTACAATGCCCTAATTTCAAGGGTTACTAGCACCGAAAGTCACTGTCAGGCTTCCCAAGCCTGGGGCACCATCAGAATTCCATTGCCAGGAGATACTGCATGATAGGAACCCTCACCCATGGTGTTCAATAAAGCCCATCAGGGTTGAGACTTGCAAGAGTATTCGTGCACTGGCAGGTGGAGCATGCCCTTCCCTCTGCCTGGAAGAGGTCCTAGTTGTGTCTGTTACTAACCTTTACATGATTGGGAGAAGTGGGGTTGCCACATGGACAACCCATGACAGATCTTGTATATCTTCTCAGCTTGGGCTGGACTCTGCCCTATCCTGGAGTTTCCCTAACACTCCTTTCCCTCCTCTAAAGGCTGGATTTCAATGGTTTCTATGCTGAACGCCTGGAACGTCTGTCTGCAGAGAGGAGTCAGAAGGCTGCCCCCCAAGTGTCCATCCCAAGGGGGCCCCCAGCATCAACACCCAGAGTGGCCATCCCTGCACAATGAGCTCCCTTTTTAGATATCATCTTTCTGAACGTGGGCATTGTCTGTTATTGTTTAAGTGTGGTTTGAGAGTCCATCTTGGCTCAATGAGTTCCTCTTTCAAGGTGCTAGATTTCCTTTTAGAAGCTTTCCAGAGAGCTGGAGAGATAGCTTAGTCAGTACATGCTTTCTGTGCAAGTGTTAGGACCTGAGTTCAGATCCTTATCATCTTTCTTAGTTATTGCTTCCGTTGCTATGATGAAACACCATAAGCAAAAGCAACTCGAAAAGGGTAGGGTTTGTCTCATCTTACAGCTTGTAATCTAGTCCGCCATCCAGGACAATCAGGGCAGGAACTGATACAAAGGCCATGGAGGAGTGCTGCTTACTGGCTTCCTCCCATGGCTTTCTCTATCTTGCTTTTTTTTTTTTTTTTAAATCACACCCAGGGCCTGCTCAGAGGCAACACTGTCCACGCTGAGCTGGCCCTTCCTGTTTCAAGCATCAATCAAGGAAATGCCCCACAGAACAGCCTTGTGGGGCATTTTCTCAGTTGCGGTTCCCTCTTCTAAAATGGCTCTATCTTATTTGAAACTGATGTAAATTTCACCCAATACACCACCTGTATAAAAAGTTGAGTGTAATGGAACACTCTATTCCCAATGCTCAGGCAGGGAGAAAGGAGGGTTCTTAAGGCTTACTGACCAGCCAGTCTAGCTAAATCATAAGGTCAAGAGACTTGTCTCTAAATTAATTAATTAAAAATTAAAAATAGGATGGATAGTAATAAAGGAAGTAACTGGTATCAGTCTCTCACTTCTACATGCACAAGTATGCACACAACCACACACAAATATGTACATGTACTACTTGCAAAAGGAATAAAAACAGAAGCTGACTGTACCAGAGTAAGGTTTCCTCAAACTTAACTGTGTTTGCCTTCAAAGTCCAGTCTGCGTGTGCATTTGTGTATCCGTGGGGGGAGGGAGGGGTGCTTTTAGCCTCAGACAGTAAAAGCATGTTTGTGCAAGGAGCAATATAATTAGAAAATGCCAGGCAAGGGAGGTGTAGCCTGGGGGTTGGGACTGTTCTCTACATGTTTTGGATCTGCCTTTATGGCCGCTAGGGGGCAGCATTATCCCTGGCTGAAGGTGTTCTGAACACTTCACCAGTGTGTGCCCAACTCTTCACCCAGAAACCTTAAGGTCTCTGAGACGTGTCCTTGGAGACAGACTAAGCTTCAAGTTGGACGCTATTTCTGCCCACCAGGGTCTGGATGCCCTTTATCCATTAGATGCAGGCCTTTCCTTTTGAAAATTATTCAGCAAAGTATTTAACAAGTTGTGCTGTGGCTGCCTCGTCTCAATGGCTTTGTTTCAGTCCTGGAGTGGACAGTTTTAAACATCTGCCCCAGGTGAACTTGGGGAATGAAAACTGTTTGGAGGAGTGAGAACTAGAGGCAAATCTCTTGATTCTGCAGATGGTAAGACTGGATGACCCAGTCAGGACTGGCTAGCTAAGCAGAGCCCCCATGGAGTGCCTGTGTTTTGTTTTGGTTTATTTTTTTTCAGCCTCACAGTTTCTTCTGGTTTGCAGCATGTGCAGGCTTGCCTGAGTAAATGTACATTGGCCAAGCCAGTGTTGTCAGAATAAATGCCAGACTAAGCAGAGCTTAGTGGTCTGTTTCCAGGAGCCCAGACACCCATGTCTCTGGTCTTGGATCTGCAGCTCCCAGGTTTGTGTGGGACCCAACTACAAACCTTCAGAACACCTGCTGGGTGAAGTTAGCAATAAATTGAGTCTGTCTTGTGTGGTGGAGTGAGTACCCATCATTTCCAATGTATTTCTGCCAGGGCGGGACAAAATTGGCCCCACCTGGTCCTGGCTTTTGATTATACCCTGTTCCTTTGCCTTCACTATAGATGGTTGGCCTTACAAGACAATGGTACATACTGGCAACAACTTTCGATTTTGCCTCCTATTTGATTAAGGAAAAAATGCCTTAAACCTTCACTGTCACTAAGGTCCTGTGTATGTGGAAGTCAGCCTTGCCCAAGAGCTCTGCCTGCTGCTTTCTGCAGCCTGGTGTCTGTTCTAGCCCTAAGCACTGTGGGCTGATACCTCTGGCAGCAGATTGCCGGTGAGATTCCTAAACCATTGCTACATTTCTGACCAGTGGGGGTAGCGGTATTATTTGTGCCCCAGCTTAAATTCTTAGGTACAGCCCTAAGGATATGATCCAAGACTCCAGCCCAGCCCCACTAGTTTCTTCTGGCTGAACTGTCAAGCCCTGTTGACAGTCTAGGTGTCTCCCCCTTTAGGTCACTTGCCCCTGGTAGGGTAGATTTGTGGAGTCTGTGAGGTCTAACCACATGTGTCCACAAGGCTGGGTCACCAAAGAAGACATTACCACAAATAATGAACAGGTTTGACTACATTCCCAATGGTCCTGGGTTCCCACAGTAACAGACCCACCTTGAGAAGCTGGGAACTAGGCCATAAAGGGATGCTGAGACCTCTGGTTCTGGGACAGCACTTCCTTTGGGACACGAAGGACAGAATTCAGGCCTGTACATGGAGACTGGTGCATCAGGACCCTCCTACAGGACGCCAAAGGATCAGTCAAGTAGACTTCTTGCTTGCTGTCACTTGGTCACCTGGGCCTAGATATCCACCTACCTGTTCCTACCTGCATTTCCTTTCCCGGTGAGGCCTCAAAAGCTTGGTAGAGCTGGCAGAGATTTTGGAAAATGTCAGCTCTCACAGAGTGGTCCCGGGACCACACTGGCCCTCCCTAGGGCTTTCAGTTGCCCTGGAAGTCAAAGGGTCCCCACCTTCTGAAGTTTTGGGCTTCCAAGTAACTTCCCCTTCAAAAGTCATCTTCCTCCAGTTAGGCTCCACCCAATTAGCACTCCCCCGCTCTGGTAGGACTAGAAGGCAAGCTCTTGGTTTCTCCACCAGGACTAGGAGCTTGTAGAGTTTCATGTACCGTCTCCAGCTCCTGTTAATTTGGTCCACATTTATGGGAGATGCAAAGCTACCCAGAAGCTACTGGGGAAGAGCCTCTGTTACTCCAGACTGCTCTGGAGACTGGTTGCTGCCAGCAGGATACTGGTACAGAGGTGTACACATCTCTCCTCGCCCAGCCTGCCCCGCCCCACCCCGCCCCATGACTTAGCGATTGGCCAGCCCTGATCTCTGGGAAGGGCTCTCAGAAGTAACCACACTGACTCTCAGAAGTCAGTGCTCAAGACAGTACTTTGTGGAACCTCTAGGGTTAGTGTCCTCAAGATCCCATCATGCTTGGCCTCTGGCTACTCAGCGCCCTGTGGACACCAGGTGAGTGATGATTTGATTTCAAGGAACCCGTTCAGGGCTTGGTGTTCGACCTAGTAGCCAGTTATCATGGTCAGGTCACCTTGCCTCCCTAGAGTTGGTCCTTGGGTATGGAGAAAATAGGTAGATACAGAAAAGATCAGAATTTGAATTTTTCAGAAGTGAAGTGTAAGAGAAGTTGGCTCCTGGGACTTTCCCTCCTGAGCTGATTACAGAAAGTGACACCACTAGGTGTGGTGCCCACAGGGCAGCTTCCCTGGCTGCCCTAGGAGTCCAGTCAGTAAGGTTCACTCACCAGTGGGACCATGGATGATGCTGAACCCTCTAGCTGGGCAGGGTCAGAAGCTAGAGATGCAGTGGTTCCAGCTCCCTAGGAACACAGGGTCCTAACTCCCACTGGAAGGCTTGGTTTACTTCTGTCCTGGGAGGCATCTGGCTGGAATGGTCTCTCACCTCTCAGTCCTGGAAGTTTGGGGTTAAGAAGCTACACCCTTTGCCTATGCCAAGAGAGGACACTTCTCTGGGATAGGTGGTCTCTAAAACTGGGCCTGCGTATAGAGGGTCCCTCATCTGTTGTTGGACACGAAGTTTTCTGTTGGGAAGAGAAAAACCTGAGGGAGGGTGTGCTTTCTTAGTCAATTAGATCTGATCATGTAACTAAAGATGAGATCAGGTCAACTCTAGATGTCTGGCAGGCAGACCAAGGGCCTATGTGTGTTCTCTCTGGGTAGGTTTAGAAAGGCACTGGGGAAGGATGGGGGCACCGTGCATGGTGTGCTAGGTTCAGACCGCTGACTCTAGTGCGATGGATCTGGTGGTATTTTAGACACAAAGCTCTTACCTGGACCACCAGGTCAGATCCCATTGCTGGTACCTAGCCATGTGATGATTCCCCAGAGAAAGGGGGTAGCACTGCCTGTGCTGTACCTTCTGACCCCTTTTATCCTGCAGTCGTAGCTCCTGGACCCCCTTTGCCCCATGTGAAAGAGTATGAGGTGGTATGGCCTCGGCGCCTGACTGCGTCCCGCTCCCGCAGAGACCTGCCCTCCCACTGGGTGAGTCCATTAGCTCCACTGCACAACCTGTTTCTGTAAAAGGATCAGCAGTCTCTGGGGGCTGCTCTGCACAGCTGCAGTACCTAAGCCTGTCTGTGTGTGTGGGCATGACTATGATCTCTCCCTGTTGTGCTCACCACTTCCTTCCTGGCACCACCCTGAATCAGAGTCTAGGGCTTCGCTCCTTTGGAGGCCATTGGCTCCGTCTGGAGAGGCCTGTCATCCAGGAGAGGTACAGCAGCTTGTGCTGCCCCAGGCCACTCCCCAGTTTCAGTTGGCAGTGGTTCTTCAGATTAGCTAGCACCTGCTCACCCTAAAGCTATGTAAACGCGACTAGAACCTCTCCGACTGGGATTTCCTGGGGCTGGGAACCGATTATAGACTATAGACCTCCAGGAAGGTTCCTGGCCCTGTCCTTGTTTGGATCTCCAGGAAACATCTCTGCCTGGGTTTTCCTTTTTCCTGGTATATGCTGTCCCTAGGGCTAGCTGGTTGTGCACATGGTGTATGAGTGAAGGGTCATAGAGTGTAGAGTACACACCTGCCCTGAACCTCAGGATGGACACCATAGCCAACTGTGCAATGGTGCTGCTGAGAGGGTCTGTTTACCTTGCCCACCCCCATGTTTCCCTGGATTCAGTGGCTATCTGGCTAAGGCCCCCTATTATTTCCTATCCTGCTTCCTCTGGGAAGAAATGCCATATCATCATCATCATCATCATCATCATCATCATCATCATCATCCTGTGAACAAATGGGGAAATGGCTCAAGGGACCAAGAAGCTCTATGCTTTTCTTCTTCATCTTGGAGTCCTGCTTTGCCTGTCCTTCCCAAATAGCTCAACCTGGCCTCGGCCACCTACTTTCTTGCCTGAAACTAATGAATTGCCAAGATCTCCTAGGGAGGTCCTTCTGGGGCTCTCTGCTATGAGAAACCCTGGCCGTAAGCTGAAGGCCATTCACTCTCCCCATCCAGGGCCTGTACCCAGAGAATCTGAGCTATGCTCTTGGGACCAAAGAACACATGTTCACCCTGCACCTTCGGAAGAACCGGTAAGCAGATTCTGGCTCTTGAGTCAGTTTCTGAGTCCCGTGGGAAGTGTAGGCTCCTTATGGGGCTGCTCGGGGAGGTAAAACTAGGGAGCTTAAGCAGTTCCCTTCCAGGGACCTGCTGGGTTCAAGCTACACAGAGACCTACTCAGCTGCCAATGGCTCCGAGGTGACAGAGCAGCTACATGGGCAGGTATGTGCCAGGACAGCCTTCCCTGGGCCAGTGAGACCGTGGCAGCAGGACCTATGACCCTCTCTCACTTCTTCAGGACCACTGCCTCTACCAGGGCTATGTGGAAGGGTACCAGGGCTCAGCGGCCAGCCTTAGCACCTGTGCTGGCCTCAGGTATGTACAGCAGACCCAAGCACGAAGTCCCATTCTACAGAAGGGTAAACTGAGGCAGTGTAAAAAAGGGCCTGGACTGGAGAGATGGCTCAGCAGTTGTGAACACTGATTGCTCTTCCAGAGAACCTGGGTTCAAAACCCAGTGCCCTCATAGGAGTTCACCACTCTCTGTAACTCCAAGATCTGACACCTTCACACAGACATATATGCAGGCAAAATACCAGTGCATATAAAATAAAAATAAACAAACCTTTAAAAAAGGAATAAAGAAAGAAAAAAAAGGCCTTGGCATGAGAGTTTGGAAAAAAAAAATGTCTTTGCTGCTCTGTGTTTGAAAGGTTTGGGGCTCTTAGACTCTATTAGGAATTACCAGCCATGCCAAACCCATGTGCCTTCTTGTCTCCTGTGTCCGCAAGCCTGGGCATTTCCCACAAGGGTGGGAGGTGGCTATTCTGAGGTAGTAGGCATGGACCACCTATAATCCCAGAGAGGCAAGCTGACCATACCCTCTATCCACCCGACTCTCCCTTTAGGGGCTTTTTCCGAGTTGGGTCCACTGTCCGCTTGATTGAGCCTCTGGATGGTGATGAAGAGGGGCAGCATGCGATGTACCAGGAGAAGCACCTGCAAGAGAAGGCTGGGACCTGTGGGGTCAGCGACACTAGCCTGGATGACCTAGGGCCTCGGGCCTTAGAAATCTACAGCTCTCAGCCCCGGGTGAGCAGCCCCTGCTGGCCAGTCCAGCCACAGAGCCCATGTTTGGGCCTACGCATGGCTGTCTATAGTCCTGAAGCAGGCTCCGTGGCCAGTGGTTGGACCTGGTTCAACCCTGCAGCTACAGAGAAAACCCACTGCACTGGAGATGTCTAGACTTTGCCTCCCAGCACAGAGTTGGGCTCTGGGGTAAGTTGGGTCAGGACCAAGAATGCTGACTAGATTCTTTCCCTAGAACTGGTTGATACCCAGAGAACCCCGCTATGTGGAGTTGTATGTGGTCACAGACAGCCAAGAGGTATGGGATGCAGGGGCTGAGGGGGCTGGATGAGCTAGGATGAGGTTGCCAGGTCCCAGCCTAAAGACCATATGTTTCCAGTTCCTGGAGCAGGGGAGCAGAGAGGCCGTGCGTCAGCGTGTGTTGGAGGTGGTAAACCACGTGGACAAGGTAGGTTGCCCCAGGGATGCTGACACTTGATGAGAAGGTATAGCCATTTAGGGTGGAAAGGGCAATAGCTGATCAAGAGGGGAACTAGTTCAGGGCTCTATACTGAGCCCAGTACCTGGCCATCACCTAGACTCAGTACCCCTCAGTCGTGAAATGGATGTGATGCTCCTGCCTGCCCCAACCCTAGCCTGACCTAGGTGGCATCTCACCCTCTGCAGCTTTATCAGGAGCTCAATTTCCGTGTGGTCCTGGTGGGCCTGGAGATCTGGAGCAGAGACAAGTTCTACATCAGCCGCTATGCCAATGTAACACTGGAGAACTTCCTGAACTGGAGGGAACAGAACTTGCTAGGGCAGCACCCACATGACAACGTGCAGCTTATCACGTGAGTGGGCCCGCACACGCATCCACCACAGTGAGGCAGAGCCAGGCTCTGGAGATTTGGCTTCTGTACAGCCTGGCCTCGAGGGCAGGACACCAGAGCAGAGCTGTGAGGGATGCAGAGGGACCAGGAACCATGTCCAGGATATTACATGTTATGTCTCTTTCTAGAGGGGTTGACTTCATCGGCAACACTGTTGGACTGGCTAAGGTATCTGCCCTGTGTTCCCGGCACTCAGGAGCTGTGAACCAGGTAAATGGAACTCTCACCCAATTTTGCCAAGCTATTTGGTGACTGAACAGTCAAGCACAGAGCCTGAGTTGTAGGGTACAAGTGTCAGTCCAGGTCCCTAAGAAACCATGAAGCAGTCACCTACTCCGGGGATGGAGTTGGAACCTGTTTTTTGTTAGGGTATTAGCAGAAAGCAGCATCACACCCGTTGACACCTAGGGTGGCAGAGGGCAGGTGGGTAGATGGTAGCAAGACAGTACTAATGATCATATCCTCATAGGATCATGCCAAGAACCCCATTGGTGTAGCATCCACCATGGCCCATGAGCTGGGCCACAACTTGGGCATGAACCATGATGAGAACATCCCAGGCTGCTACTGCCCTGTACCACATGAGGGTGGCGGCTGCATCATGACCCAAAGCTTTGGGTGAGGTCCAGTGGGACATGCTGGGAGGGAAGGAACAGACTGGCATGTGGAACTCCCTGATGGTCATATCCCTTTCCCTTAGCCACAAGTTGCCAAGGAAATTCAGCAGGTGTAGCCAGGTTGACCTGGAGTCCTTCGTGATGAAGCCCCAGACAGGCTGCCTGACCAATGTCCCAGATGTCAACCGGTTCGTGGGTGGCCCTGTGTGTGGAAACCGATTTGTAGAGCATGGAGAGCAGTGTGACTGTGGTACACCTCAGGTCTGTCTCACCCTCTCCCTGCCCCTTGCTGGTCAGCCTCAGCGTTAGTGTAGGGCCTCAACCCAAGGTCCTTTTTGCTTAGGTTAGCCTCTCAGGCCTGATGTTATGTGCCCACACCATATGTAACTCTTGGGAATCACACATTACCACATTTCCCTTTGAGCCCCTAATAACCTATTAAGGAATTGGAGAAAAATTGTCTGCAGCCCCTTGCCCAAAGTTCACCAAAAGCTAATTTACCCTGGAGCCAGGTCTGGCTAGGGCATAGCTCTTCAAACCACTGTCCTCCTAGGACTGTAAGAACCCCTGCTGCAATGCCACCACTTGCCAGCTAGTCAAGGGGGCAGAGTGTGCTTATGGTGCCTGCTGTCGTGAGTGCAAGGTAAGTTGGACTCCACCCAGGATCTGCCCTAGTCAAGCCCGGGACAACAGGATGCCTATGAAGGCATCATGTGGACCTGTTCCACGGAGAGCTTCTCTGTGGTACCAGGTGACGCCGGCTGGTGAGCTGTGTCGTCCCATGAAGGACAGATGTGACCTGGAGGAGTTCTGTGATGGCCAGAAGCCAACATGCCCTGAGGATGCTTTTCAACAGAATGGCACACCCTGCCCGGGGGGCTACTGCTTTGATGGGAGCTGCCCCACACTGGCACAACAGTGCCAGGATCTCTGGGGGCCAGGTGAGGCAGGCATGAGCATAGGATGGGGGCGAGCTTGTGGAGTGTCTGTGACCTACACCAGGCTAACTTCTCCTGGCCCCCCAGGTGCCCGGGCTGCGTCAGACTCCTGCTTTACCTTTAGCATCCCTTGGGGCTGCAGTGGCAATATGTATGCTGGCAAGTAAGTAACAGCTGGGGCCTGGGGGTGGCGTGTCTTCACTGAGAATTCCCCACAGAGGAGGATGGCTCTGAGACAGGTGGCTCTCCTGGAGTCTGCCCTGCTTCAAGTCATCAACCTGAACCTATCATCCTTGAGGAAGGAGAAGGCCTGGGGCCATCTTCTGCAGCACCCAGGCCTCTGAGCACATGCCCAGGACACCTGTGACCACAGCCTGCCCTTTGTCTGCAGAATGAACCGATGTGGGGTGCTGTACTGTGAGGGAGGCCAGAAGCCCCTTGAACGTGCCTCCTGCACTTTCTCCTCCCACTATGGAATCTGCCACGCTCTCCGCACAGACAGCAACACTGAAACCTATGAGCTGGTACTCCAGGGCACCAAGTGCGAGGAGGGGAAGGTGAGCTGAGAAGCGCTTGAAAGCTATCCCAGGCTGCTGAAGACCAAATGTGCCCCTATGGGTCTCTGACGATGTCCTATACAGACAGTGTTGACTGGTGGAGGCATGTGCGTGGAACCTCTTATCCCCTAGTCAAACCTGACAGGGTAACTGGGCAAGCAGAGGCACCTGTCTGGAGATCACCACACCCAAGGTGTCCCCAGGGTCAGCCAGTCCAGTACCATTCTCATGGCTGAGCCCCTATCCCACACATGCGCGTGCACACACACACACAAGTATGAGGGAATAATTATCCTAGGTTATCTTAGAGTGTGAACACACCAGCTGTCCTGGACTGACCTTTGGGTTTGAAGATAGTAAGGTGAGGGTGGGGTCTAGACCAGCTACCCAAGAGCCCCTTCCACCTTCCAGGTTTGCATGAATGGACGCTGCCAGGACCTCCGTGTATATAGATCTGAGAATTGCTCTGCTAAGTGCAACAACCATGGGGTACGTGTGGCCTTAGACCTCAGGGTATACCCACCGACTGGTGCCCTCAAGCTACCACCACTTACTTGTCAGTTGGAGCTTGTGGCAGAGATAGCTGTGGACATAGCACTGTGGGCTCAGACTAGCCTATGTCCTTCTGATGGAGGCATCAACAAGTCCTCTCTGAGGCTAAGGTAGGACAGGTGCCCTCCACTGAACTTGTGGCCAGTGGCCAGTGTGGTCACTAGGGATACTCCTTTTAAGCCTAAGATTGACTTATGTGGGTGGATGGAGGAGAATCCTGTGTGCTGCTACCTGCTCTGCTGCCCTGTGGGATACCCGTCCTTGAGGCCCAGCTTTCCTCCCAGGTATGCAACCATAAGGGAGAGTGCCACTGCCATGCGGGCTGGGCCCCGCCCCACTGTGCACAGCTGCTGGCAGATGTACCAGCTGGGCGAGCAGGTAAGGTCCTGAGGACCACAAGAGCTGGTCTTTGCGGGTTGCCGGGCTTGAGGGTGATTAGGAGGGATCCTGTATATCTACCTCTTAATGGTGACTGTGTCCTGCTCAAAACAAGGCCAGATAGCCTTGGCCCAGGCATCCAGGGCCACTCCCTACAACCCCCACAGTGTCTTCCTCCCCAGTGCTCACTGTGGCTGTCCACAGCACCGCAGCCTCGGGAGCCTGGCTAGGCCTCAACGGTGGCACTGTGGGGCTGGCACTCACCACATCTAACCCACTGCCGGAACGCCTGAAGAACTGGTGTAATGTACTGGGCCCTCTGCTGGGGTCCTCAGGCACCTGATCATATGTGGGGTGTGGGACCTAGGACATGGTCAAAAGGGAATGATCCTTGGGCCAGTAGCTCCCAAGGGCCCTCCCCAACTCTTGATCCAGCTGGTCCCAGTCCTGGATGATCATGTGGCCATGTGTCACACAGCATCTGGGAGCCTTCCAGTTGGTGTGGTGGTGGCTTTGGTGATCCTGGTGGCTGCGATGGTCATCCTGGCAGGTGTCTTCTTCTACCGAAAGGTCCAGAGCCAAGTCCAGAGGAGGTGAGGACATTGAAGTTGTGACATATCTACAATGAGACACGTACTTCCTGTACTCGGCACTTGGGAAGTGGCTTTGTGGCTACTCAAGAAAGAAAAAACATTGCTTCTGTCAGCAGGCCCGGGCAGAGACATTCAGGGGGCCTCGGGGTTCTCTGGGTGCTAGACAGGCCTTGGTGGGAGGCTCAGAGATTCCCAGAATCTCTTCTGTTGCTTCTTCTTCTTCTCTTCCTCCTCTCCTTTCTTCCTCCTCCTCCCCTGAGGCTTTAAAGGGACAGTGTGGGATACGGTAAGTCCAGAGTTGAGATGACCTTCCCACCCCTAGCCATGGCCACATATGCCCCACTAGGTTTCTACTGTGCCCTGCACCAAGACCTTGACCCCCAAACTGACTGCCAAAGCACAACTTTTCCAAGATCCTCTAAACACCTTCTTAGCACAACTGTCAAGAGACTTGCTCCTTGGCCTCCTGGGCTCACACGTGTGCCTGTGACTACAGCTTGCATCCTGTGTAGGGTGTACCAGGGCAGAGATGCCAGCCTCAGTAGGGGTCGGGGCATGCCCAGGAATCCTGGACTCTTTGCCTGAAAATGACTACACCGTTGTTTGTCTCTTTTTCTCCCCAGGAGTGTGGCACCCAAGCCCACCACAGGGCTCTCCAACCCCCTATTTTACATGAGGGACAGCAACCTGCCAGATAAGAGAAGGCCTCCAGGCACCCCAGAGGTGGTTTGTACCAACCAGCCCCCGAGACCTACAGTGACACCAAAGAGGCCGCCCCCTGCAGTGAGTACTGTCCTCTGGAGGTGGAGGTGCTACTGCTCCTGGGGTTGAACAGAGGGGAACTCAGGTTGAGGTCAATAGGGATAGTGGAGGGGTGAGTCTATTAGGGATAGTGAAGCCTTTTTGCATAAATTAACTCATGAGCCCTGCAACAGCCTGGAGTCTTGAGAAGTATCTCAATCACCCCAAGGGAAGGAGAGGGACTAAATCAAGATGTGTCCTCTAAGGATCTATATTTGGAGTCTGGACTTGTGGGTTTGAGGGTTCTCAGACCTGAACTGTGAGAGGAAAATGGCATAGGCCATGCATCTCGAGCAGGAAAGCGGGGGGTGGGGGAGTGTAAGAACCTTGGGTCCTAAAGCAGGAGACCTGGTGGGCACGGGTTGGGGACTTAGCACTGCTTCTGGGGCCCAGGCTCATATCTCTGTCCTCTGAAGCCTCCAGCTCCTGTGTCCAGTCCACCACTTCCAGTTCCAGTTTATACTCAGCAGGTAACAAATCTAATAAGCCTTGGGAAACAGCCATGTGTGTTCTGAGGACATGGAAACCTCCTGGAGGTGGCATTTGGTGGCTGACTCTGTGGGCCTGGGGCCGAGGGCAACAGCTGCTGTACTGGGAAAGTAAATTAGCCTGGCCTAGCAGGGAGAGTCAACTGAACCTAAGGGTGGATTCAGGGAGCTGGGAGGGAGGGGTACTACTGCTCCATCCCCCAACCCTGAACTGCTCTGCTCTGTGGATCCTGATTCTTTCTCTTTTTTTCCAACAGCTTAGACCTGTTCCGCCTACCAAGCCCCTCCCAAAGCTGAAACCGAAGCAGGTAAAGAGACAGCCTTAACTCTGAGGAGACCCTCCCTTCCTTCAGACCTCCAGAGACAAATCATCCTATACTTTTCCTTGGGAGGAAGCTATAGAGATTTGGAAGGTCTCAAAGTACTACTTACTAAAGCTTTGAAAGTAGAGATTCATTCCTGTTCGTTCTTCCCTGAGTTGTTGGAGCCCTTCCCAGCAGGGTTCCTCACCTCTAGATGACCAGGAACCCCTTTTCTTAGACCTAAAAGGGGCAGCCTGTTTAGTGTCACTGTGGGTCTCAGGTCTCAGAGGCCTGGAGGCCTGCTCTTTTCGGGCAGGCTGCTGTCCCCCATGTAGAATAGAGGTTTGGAGAGCCCTGTGGTGGGCTTGGGTATCACACTCATGGGGAGAAAAAGAGACAGTGGTGAAGTCACTTCTAGGCAGAGAATCCGGGACTCCTGAGCATGCCCCCCCACCAACTTCTACTTCTGAGAATCCATGGGACCCTGCTCTAGCCCCAGCCCTAGGTAGCTACTCTGGGGTCATGACTGGACTGGTAGAGAAGCTGTGTGTAGGTGCATGGGCTTGCCTGTCCCAGGGAGCAAATGTAAGGTAGCAGGAGGACAGACACCCAGCAGCCCCTGAACTCTGACACAGGCCTTAACTGCACAGGTCAGCTGCCCACCTGACCTGTGGGACCTGAAGAGTGACTGTTTGTTCTTTGCTCTGCCCGAGACCTTGTTAAGGGCCTTAGCTGCTCTTCTGGGTACTTGTGGCTCTCAAGTGGCTTTCAGTCTACACTGTTCATCTGGAAAGTGCTAGTTGACAGTTTTCTGAGTGTCCTTTCGTTTGTCTACTTCTTATCTTCTTATTGTAAGTGGATGTGGGTTGATACACTGTTAGCAGGAAAAGCATGGAAAGTAACCAAGACAGGATAGGGGTCTGAATGCCAGTGAGTTCTTTGCTGGGAACTGTCTTTGTACTAAATGAACTGATGTCTAGTTAAAGGAATGAATGCTTGGGAGATCATCTCGAGACTTTTTTTCTTTCAAAAAAAATTTATTTATTATGTATGCAGTGTTCTGCCTACACACTGATAGAGGGCACTAGATCTCATTATAGATGGCTGTGAGCCACCATGTGGTTGTTGGGAATTGAACTCCGGACCTCTGGAAGAGCAGTCAATGCTCTTAACCTGAGCCATCTCTCTAGCCCAGCCACCTGATACTTCTAACATCCAATAAACAGCAGACTCCAAACACATAAGCTTTTAGTTTATTTGTCCTGTGGGAAATTGTCTGCATATCACAGCAGATCAGTCACCGCAGATCTATTCCTTTGGCTTTTTGCTAGCACCAACATTGGCCTTCGCAGCCCCCCTGACCTTCTTCATTCTGTTCTTGTGTTCCTTTCACTGTTTTCAAGAGGTCTTTTTCTTATTTTTTTAAGATTTATTTATTTATTATGTATTCAGTGTTCTACCTGTATGTATGCCTGCAGCCCAGAAGAGGACATCAGATCTCATTACAGATGGTTGTGAGCCACCATGTGGTTGCTGGGAACTGAACTCAGGACCTCTGCAAGAGCTGCCAGTGCTCTTAACCTCTGAACCATCTCTCCAGCCCATCTGGAGACTCTTAAAATTTCACATCTCTGGAAAGTTTGTCATTTGGCCTTTAACAATTGTCTCTCTGTCTTGCTATAGCAATTTCATGTTTTTATTTATTTATTTATTATTGTGTGTTTGATGTACGTGGGCATGTATGCCATGGTGCACATGTGGAGGTAAACCTTTACTTGGTTCTGGGACTCAGCTTGTCAGGCTTGTGCTGCAAGCACCTTTACTGGGTGATCAATCTCAGTGGCCCTTGCTGCTGCAGCTGCTACTACTGCTGTTTATTATTATTAATTATCATTATCATTATTATTGTGTGTGGTATGGTGTGTTGTGTGCATGCATGCCATAGCATGCAAACAGGATCAGAGGACAACTTTGTAGACCTAGTTCATTCCCTCCACTTTTACACGTGCTTGAACTCAGATTGCCATGCTTGCACAACAGTGTCTTTACCCAGTGAGCCATCTCACAAGCCCCTGGTTTTTGTTTTGCTTTTTAAATTTACTCTCACTCTAGCCCAGGCTGGTATGGAATTCACTGTGTATCCCAGGCTGGCCCTTAAACTTATGGTGGTCCTCCTGCTTCAGCCTCTGGAGTTTTGGTGCGATTTTCTGGTTTTCTTTTTCCATTTCTGGAGGGAAGAGGGGAATTATTAATTTATTTACTTTTTAGTAAATGAGTAAAGGCTCACTATGTAGCCTTGGCTGACCTGAAGCTCTCTGTGTAGACCAAGCTGGCGTCAAACTCACAGAGATCCACCTGCCTCAGCTTCTTGAGTGCTAGGATTAAAAACGTACATCACTGTGCCTAGCCAGGGACTACTTTTAAACTTACAGAAGAGCTGAAAACGTTAGCCAGGTGGTAGTAGTGGCACACACCTTTGTAGACAGAGACTGCGTGTTTGTTTTGTGGCTGTCCAGACCAAATAATCACACAGAAACTACTTTAATTACAACACTCTTTGACCAATAGATCAGATGTATTTCTGATTTTTTATATTTTACTACAAAGTTCGTGGATTGTTACCTCTTGCTTCTTGAGACTACATGGTGTCTGCCTCCTTTGGCAGCTACAGGGCGTCTCTTTGACTCCGCCCACTCTCTCTATCTCTGTTCAGATTTCCTGCTTGACTTTACTATGCTAAGCCATTGGCCGAAACAGCTTCTTTATTAACCAATGCCAATAAAACATATTCACAGCATACAGAGGGGAATCCCATATCACACCTTTAATCGCAGCACTCTGGAAGCAGAGACGGTAGATCTCTGAGTTCAAGGTCGATCTGGTCTACAGAGTGAGTCCAGGACAGCCGGGGCTACACAGAGAAACCCTGTCTTGAAAAACAAAACAAAACAAAATTTAAAAAAAATCCAAAACAACAATGAAAGAAAGAAAGACAAGAAGGAGAAAGGAAGGAAGGAAGAAAGGAAGAAAGGAAGGAAGGAAAGAAGGAAGGAAGGAAAAGAAAACCCTAGAAGCAGTCCTAAAGGCAAAATGGGAGCAGTGCACAGGGATTTCTGAGCAACGATTAAGAGAAACTGGATGGGGAGGAAGGCCAAAATGTGCCTCGCCCAGAAGGAAAGCTCAGCACAGCCTTCAAGATATGCTAAAACCAACCAATGCCAGATTACCATCCTCTCTAGGAATGTGGAAATGCAAAGAAATGTGTTTTAGTAGTTAATTCTTTCCTTTTGAGCTTCTGGTAACGTCATGGGGTACTGTTGAGGCTGCAAGATGGGTTAGGACAGCTAGCCAAGAAGAGGAGCTCTGCCAGGTTCAGGTTTAACCCTCTGAGTGGTATGGCCCTCCACCAGCTGTGTCTACTTCCTCCCAGGTCAAGCCAAACGTTGTACCTCCAACACCACCAGTCAAGCCTGGGACTGGAGGGACCACGCCTGAAATGACTCAGGTGAGCCCCCGTAGAGACTCTATCTATCTTTCCGGAACCATCCTGCTGACTGTGGCACTGCTCTGGAGGCTGGGGTGGGGTTTTTTTGTGGGGGTGTTGTTAACTGGTTTCCTACAGAGCTGTGTGAAGACAGAGGCCTCAGGGCTAGGCTGGAAATGAGCAGGGCAGCCTTGGGAAGATAAAGCTGGGCAGTACTTGGCCTTCTTGGGAGATGCCCTCCATCAGCTGTGTCTGCTTCCTCCCAGGTCAAACCAAACGTTGTACCTCCGACACCACCAGTCAAGCCTGGGACTGGAGGGACCACGCCTGGAGTGACTCAGGTGAACCCCCATAGGGAAGGAGTCTTGCTTACCAGTAACATTCTGCTGATTAAGGCCCTGCTCTAGAGGCTGGGATGGGGATTTGGGGGGGGGAGTGTTGTTCACTGGTAAGTTTTGTTGACATCTGAAAGGAAAATGGGAAAAAATCCTCAGTAATAGGCTGATATCTGCTTTATAATCTGTCAAAACATTTCAGAGCTTGCTGCTATCAGGGGCTATCAATTTTTCCTTTTCCTATAGCAATGAGAAGTCTACAGCATATATGAAGTATTAATGTAGTCATCTTGTGTGGACGGGGTCATTAATTCTGCTGTTAGGGGAAGTGAGAATCTAAATTTAAATAATTATAAACGGGAATTATTTAGCTGTACCTCTTATAGCAGACCAAATGCTCATAACATCAATTTCCCTTTTTTTCCTGGCAGAGAGCTGCTGGTCCAAAAGTTGCTCTGAAGGTCCCTGTCCAGAAGAGGTGACCAGCTAGGGCACCCCACGGCCACTGCAGGCTTGTGGAAGTTCGGAGATACCAGTGCTCCTATGAACATGCTCCTTCAACAACAGCCCCCACTCAGGCTGGACCTGCAGTCCAGCTGTTCCTACCTCAGGAATAATCTCAGTGTGGCTCTTACTGTCCAGCTGCCCACCTGAACCAGTGTCCTCTCACTGGCCTTGGCCAGCGTAGGCCACGTGCCTGCAGTTGCTAGGCTGGGGTGACATCACCTGCAGTGAGCGAGTGTACCTGTCTTCTGGTGTGGACAGGGTGCCAGGAGCCCCCCTCCCAGCAACTTCTGCATCCGTCCTCACCTAGTGACCCCTCCCCAAGGCCGGGGCAGATTTGCACAGTTCCTGTGTCTCCTACATCCCAGTCACGTAGGAGACGTAGGGAGGAAAAGCCGACGTGGGGGAGAGGTTGTATGGGACCAGAATCGCCTTCATTTCCGGGACTGGGACAGAATGGTTGTCTAACTTACTGCTAAACACTAGTCATTAATAAAGATTTTATTTTATCACTAGATTACAGACCATGTTCTAAAAAGTAGATTGTTTTTATTACACCACATCAAACTATTTCGCCTACCTTCTTTTATTTTAACCATCCACCGTAATTTAGTCCTTCCCCTGCCTGACGTACAGGAGGACCAAACCTATCTGGGATCGAGGGAGGGCCGGGTGCAGTGTGGGCCCCGCCCCTTCCGGCTGTGCCTCGTCTCCTAGCAACGGTCTGACGCCTCCCGATTTACTCCGCTGCTTTTTGCTGCTGCAAACGCACCCTTCTACCATGTTCAGTGCTTCCAAGCAGTGCTCTGGTGCGCTCCTGCCACCGCCTGAGGCTATTCACAACCTCTGCGCCTGGCTGGACCGGCTTCCACTCAGCCGCCCCAAGCGCCACCTGGCTCGGGACTTCAGTGATGGTGGTGCGAGTGATGGCGAGACGCCACGGGGCTGATGATGAAGAGGGCTCAGATAAGGGCCGCCCTTGAATCCAGCCCCGTTGTACCGGGGCGTGGCTGGGATGGGCGGGGGCGGTTCCTGAGTTAAGACTCACGCTCTTTAGGGAAGGCTGTGGCAGACATGGCCTCCTGTGGCTCTTCCAGCTCCTCTTGGGCTCTCACGCTGTGGTAACTCCCTAGGCCATCCTACCCCTTGGTCTGTTCCGGAGTCTAGCTGCAGTGCCAAGAACTCTCAGGGACAATCACAGTTCCCCCAGGACAAACTCGTGCCCTCCCACCTTCACTCCGAGCCTCCCATGTGGTCAGAGATTACAGCTGCAACCCGGTGTCTTAGTCAAGTTCACCTTGCATTCCCACAGTGCTGGTGGCCGAGATTGTGAAGCACTTCCACCCTCGGCTGGTGAACTTGCACAGCTACGTCCCAGCCTGCAGTACAGACCAGAAGTTAAGCAACTGGAGCCTTCTCAACAGGCAAGGCATGGCTGACCCAGGGACACTCTCTAATGCCCCTTTGCGACAAGTTTCCAGCTGCAGGTCTCTGACTATGCCACAACCAGGGTTCCTGGGGACTCCCTGCTGGGACAGCCCACCAGGTAGCCTGTTCTCTCACAGATTAGTGGAGGTACATTTTACTCCATCTCCCAAACTGTCCTCAGACAAGCCCAGACCGGTGTGTTTGTTGTGCTACATGACACCAAGAACAACCAGAGTAGGATGTAGTCAAATCAAGAGGGAACCCAGGAAGTGCTTGAGAGCAGAGCAAGGTGGGGAACATGTGTAGGCACACAGAATGCTGCATGGGGGACGTCAGACCCCGCCCCCCAAGACTGACTCAGATTGGATTGGGGGCATTGAAGGACTCAGGCCTGAGCTGGAATGAAGGCTCAAGGGAGGTGATCATGCCTGAGCGGGGGCCCAGCCGCCAAGTTCTGGCACTGTCTAGCTGGAGAGCAGAGGGCAAGCAGTCAGGGAAACAAGGTTGAGTGCAGAGAACCTCGCCCGGTGGAGCAGAGTGCATCAAGTGTTCTATGATCTCCTGAGACACAGGCCCACTAGGCCAGGAAGAAGACAGCCATGGGTCCCTGGGCTGCCGAGCAAAGAGGAGACCTTGTTAGCCTCTCCTCTCTGAGGAAGCTAGATGCTGTCCGGTGGTCTGAAGGCATGACTCACAAGGACAGAACTGCAGGGAGGGCTCCACTCCCAGCCCTTGGTAGCACTGTTTTGAGAGTGCACCCCCCTCTTTTTTTTTTTTTTCAGGAAAGTCTTTCAAAAGCTGCACTTGTGTATCTCAGAGACCGATATCCAAAAGGTGGTGTCCAACAAGCCTGGGGTTATCGAGTCTATCTTGTGTTCACTGAAGGAGAAAATAGAGGCCGGCACTGCTCACGGAGGCCCGGCTGGTGCAGCTGTAAGTGTCCGCACATCAGCTCAGCCTGCAAGTGGGCTGTGCCTGCTGCGCTTTGTGCATAGTCAGACGATCTGCCTATGTGAGAATAAAACAGAGAAATGGATGTCTCTGTGGTCCAGAATGAAACGAAGTCCATACATGAGGTCACAGTAGCCACTTAGGCTCACTCCTGATTTTCCCGCTGACTGGAATCCTTCCAGGCCCCCATCTCCTCCCCAGCCTGAACCACCTAACCGAGACAGTGAAAGTGCTTGAGAGCTGTTCCAACTACAAGCACCCTAAGTCCTTCCCTCTCTTCTTCTGCAGTTTGCCCACTGACCCCGCTCAGAGTGGAGACCAGACATGTGCATCCCTGCTACACCTCACCTCCCAACCTTTGTACTCTGCAGGATCCAGGCCTCTCCAGTGTGAATGCTGTCCAGCCGTGGGGAGGGCTTAGCACCCACTCGCATACCACTAGGACTCAAAATCTTAATGTTGATAATAGCAGCTCATCAGAGCCCCTCTGGGACTACTATGGAGAACGCCGCTACATTCCTGAAGGCTGGACACATGACAATCACGAGCTCACAAATCTTCAAAAGAGGGCAGGTATGCTGTGGTGCACCCTGGGCCTAGAGGGGCTAGTCGGCTTCTGAGGAAGGCGCCCTCACTTGTGCAGGCAGAATACTTAAGGTCCTGGCTCCATCAATACCCAGAGAGCAACCATCCAAGGGGGAGCCTGTGTGCTATGCAGGGAAACCATTTCCAAGCTTGCCAGGGCCCTGACACCAGGCTAGGACCAAGTCCTTCCATGATGATCCTGGGTTTGCTTTACCTTCTATGAACCATGTCTCCTCATCCATATTTCCTATCACTGGTGGGTACCAGTCAGAAGCAGGGTCCTCAGCTGATGGTATCTATTTGTCATACAGGCCCACAGAGCCCTCCAGTCCCCGTCAGCACGAAGACCCTTCAGAATCCAAGGGATCTGGAGAAAATGGGCTGCTGTGCTTGCAGAGGGTGGACCCTTCTCTCTCAAATTCTCCCTGCCCATCTCCTCATGATCCCTATCCTGGATTAAAGGTCAGTGTTTACCTTTCAGGGACCCAGTGGAAGGGCTCTGGGATCACCTGGCCATCATCCAGCAGCAGCTGGAGGATAAAGAACAGGCAATAGCCATTCTGCAGGAGACAGTCAAGGTATGGTCCTGTTGGGCATCCCTTGCTGCCTGGACAGTCTGGGCTGCAAGACAAGGATGCAGAGGGACCCATTGCCCCAGTTTCAGACTTCTTGGCTGAGTTTCTGCAGAGCTGGCACTGACCCAGTGAAGGGCATAAGGGGTATGCAGGGCCCTGATCAGAGAGAAGCGACAATCTTTGGATTACTTAGTAAACAGTTTATGGAACATTTTAGTCCTTCCCTGAGGCAGAAATGATATGGTGACTCCCTAATGCACTCGTCACCTGCTTTATCGATCTGTCCACACCACACCCAAGTGGTACAGGATGACTGTATGGACCAAAGCCCATCTCAGGAAGCAGGTTCCGGGTGAACATCTGAAAACCATGTAAAATGGAATGCTTACTGGAGAGCCTCCTGCCTGCCTCCCACTAGCCTGAACTGGGCCCCATCTTTCTTCCTATCCCCAAAAACCAGGGCCCTGGAAACAACCCACATGGAGAGTCTTGTGAGCATTTAGATGTGCATGCATACCTGGCTTTGGTACACATCTGGTACTATGGAACACACTTAGCTCTGCAGGGCACAACTGGCTCTAGGATACACAGTTGATTCTGTAGTGCATGTCTGGGTTCTACAGTGCACACCTGATTTTGTGATGTATGCCATGCTGTGTGGGCTAATACCTGGTACTGCAGATGCACCCCCAGGTCTGTGGATGTACTCCTGGCTCTGTGGGTACACACCCAGTTCTGCAATATATGGGTTATGCAGTGCATGGCTTGCTCTCTGAGGTAGAGCATTCGGTTTCTGCAGACACATCTGTCCTGCTACTCTTTTACCAGCAACTCCCAGTGCCCCTTGCTGTTTCTTACCTCTCCTGGTATCCTGGGAGTACAAGAGCTAAGACAATACGGCAGAGTGGACAGTCTGGGCCAATGGGCCTCAGAGTCACAGGGGCTGTCGGAAATTGCAATACCATCTCAGTTCTTGCGCTTGTACCCGAATCTTGATGAGTTATCTTCTTGTGAAAACAGGAAAGTGATGTGATATCACTGTGGCTTTGGAGCTGCAGAGCAGAAGAGAGGAAGCAGTAAGGAGAACTGAAGCTGCTGCCTCTGTCTGCCCTGCTTGTTCACAGCCCAGCTCTCCCCACAGCCGCCCAGGCGTATATGCTGACCAAGGGAACTAGCTCTTCATTGGAGACACAGAGAGGAAACAGACCAGCTTGTCATTTAAGGGTTGACCCTCAACTGGCCATTTAAGGGTTGACACTCAACTGGCCATTTAAGGTTGAGTACCACTTGTAAGTGGCCACTAGGTGAGAAACACAACTTTGGAGTTGAAGAGACACCGGGAGTCAAAGGAGAAATATGTGGTGACCGGATGTATCAAGCATGTGGCTGGGCCTCATGGAAAGGATTCCATGGCTGGGCCTAGCCACAGCTCCCTGACTTTTGGTTTGTCACTAACTAAGGAGTTGTAGGAAGGTATCTAGGAAATAGGCTTTATATACTGGCTATAGACAGTGTCGCACCCCACAAAGCCAAGGAGGGACCTTGTCTTGTATTGTCCGATGTGAGGCTGGCTCCCTCCCCACCTGGCTCCTTCACACTACCTGGGAATGAGACAGATCCCATTTTTCTGCTTGAGGAGTATGATGGGTGTCTATGTTTCTGATAAGATAAGGTTTGGGACAAGGTCATTCTTGAAACAGGCAGGGAGAAATCACAGATACCTGAGCCGATCAGTCCCCTGTTGGGTTCATAGCAGAGAAGGCTCCTTCCCTGCCCTGCCCTGCCTTGCCCTGCCCCGCCCTGCCCTGCCCTGCCCTGCCCTGAATCTAGTCTTTCTAGTTGACACAGAGGGAGTAGACAGAGAGATCAGGGAGATCCCAGCAGGGAACAGGAGGAAAACCCAGTCCTTCCTGGCCTACCAGCCCACTACGCACCACACCTCAGGCTCACTGACTGTAGAATCTTCCCCAAGGATCCTGGTGTTCATCTTTCTCAGTGCTCCCACAAAGGGCCTTTGATCCAGCCCCCAGTCGTGAGACCTAGGCTTGGGGGACTAACTGGTATGTAGGGGGCATCTCTGGCTACGTTCAGACTTGTGTACTTTCTGAAGATTTTGCAGATGAAGGTGATGAGGTTGGAGTATCTGGTACAGCTGAAGGACCAACGGATCGGGGAGCTGATGAGATCTGGGCCTGAGGAGCGTCAGAGCTGGAGGGGCCCCCATCCAGAGTCGTTCAGACCTTGACCCTGAGCCCAACTGGAACCTCTCACTGACCAGGCAGCTTCAGAGTGGGACAAGTGAATGCCGAACAGGTGTAAAGGGCAGAGCACCCTGGGGCCGGAGACAAATTTGGATAGATTGGAGTATGGTTCTCCCAACCCCCCAGTGTCTTGTCATCATTATTGATTGCATACTTGTGAGCTCACGAGGTGCCGGGATGGGCAATGTCTCGGGGTCGCCTTCCAGGGTGGGTGGGCAGTGTTAACCATGTTGCCCCAGTGACAGCCACACTAGAGTTTTCTGAAGACTCCATGGATGGGACCCCTGGAAGAATTTGCAGGCCTGAGCCTGCTAGGCTTCTCCACTGCAGGTGGACACAATGGGGAAGGTCACAGGGCATGGCAGGAGGAGGGGCTATAGGAAGGCTGGTTACCTACTTTGCCCTGAAGGTTTGGGGAGCCAGGTGAACCTGAACCCTGAGCCTAGATGGCCATGGCAAACTGTACCGCTCTTTGGTTTCAAGACCTGGCAGCTACCACTAGGCTCTGGGACATCCTCACCTTCCTGGACACCAGCCACATCCCAGGGGAGTGGGCATAACTGCCTGTCGTTTAGGTACTTTGCTCCTATATCCTCAGTGGGGCTTAGCTGGGTCCTCCTCTACTCCCTCACAGTCACCACTCTCCCCGAGGACAGCCTCCTCTATGCCTTTAGGCCATGGCTGGCCCCGGAAGGGTCTCAGGAAGTAGTAACAGAAGCTCCAGATTGAGGTCATGGTTTTACAACTGCCCCCAGAGATCCAGGCACCGTTTCCTTCCTGAGTCAGAATCCGAAGCACGTCACTAGCCGCAGGTCTATCACCTTCTCCACTCTGAGTCACTTTTCAGAACGTTAGTCAGGAAGGCAGTATCCTAACGACTGACTCTGTCAGCAGTGGTCACCTCTGGCCAGCTGCCTGGAGAGAGAAGCTTGATGCTCGGAGCTGAGGCAGGGGAGCTCCAGGAGAACAGCCCCTCTCGTCTTCCCACAGTCCTAGCCAAAGTACACTGGATAGAAGGGGACATCTCTGTTGCATGTGGCATATTTGGGTTCCTAGTGTCCAAGCAAGGAAATCTTCCTTAAATCACTGTAGAACCTCCCAGATGGGGCTTCCACAGCCCTAGATATAGAGTCATGCTTGTATCTCAGGGTGGCAGAAAGAATGGAGAGGGGCCAAGGAGCTTAGCGCAGGCCCAGGCAGCTCTAGACCTGGCCAGCCAGGCCTCCAAGTCCCCGCATGCAGTGATCGTACAGGCCAGCTTCTCCGGGCCAGCTGTGCATACGTGTGCACATGCTTGCATGAACAGACATGTAGCACACACAAACACGGTTGCACCCGTGTGGAGGCTGCTTCCTTGAGGAGTAAACAGGCTATCTCCGGCCAACATTAGGGCTTTAGGAAGCGGGGCCCAGCGTTGTGGGCTTTGGTGTGACTACGTGTGTGACGATGTGTTCGACTGTATGTGACAGTGCGATCCTGCGTATGATTAAAGGTAACGCTGTGTGACTATGGACCTCACGCCGTGGCAAAGTGTGCCTGCATATAACTGTGGCAGTGTGAGTGTCAGTGGTGCTGTGTGGCAGTGAATTTAACTGTGTGACACTGTGTGATTATCTATGTGACTGTAGATGTGACAGTATATACAGTGTGATGGCCAGTAGAGGTGCCAGAACGGTAGCCTCAAGATGGATGGCAGAGATGCCGTCCAGGGGTCTGCGAGACTGTGGCTCTCCTGCTGGCAGGACAGGCAGTGTGCCCCACACCGGCTGTTCCTCCCTGTTCCAGGACGGCCTGCTGGGCCTCACGAGCTGGGCCTGGGCCAGCTGATGGGCTTCGGGGCAGAAAGTGTAACTGGGAAAAGAGAAAGCAAGGCTTTGGGGTGATCTGTCACTCCCTGGGCGGGACTCACTAATACTGGAGTGTGTCTTATGCCAAGGACAAACAGAGATAAACAAGCGGGGCTTAGGTAACTGGGAGCTCAGGGGTTTCACCGGCAAGCCCTGGCTTGCCCACCCAAAGCCAGCACCCCGAGAAGCACCTGGAGTAGAATGGGTGGAGCAGGAGCCTGACTGGAGCTGCAGTACCCCAGGTACGAGGAACTAGGATACCCATTCCCAGGTGACCTGAAAGAAGTCACATAGTCACGCTAGAGTAGGAATCAGGCCCACAGTGGTGGCTTCGTGGTGCCAACCCCACAAGATGCTAACCCTTGGCTACTGTGCCTGAGGACTCCAGATAATTACTTCGGCTGACTTTGCACAGGACCAATGAAAAGCAGGACCGAGAACTCAATCCTGGTCACTCCCTGTGCCCACAACTTCAAGGTTCCTCTTTTGCATCCCTGACCATGATATCATCTGACCTCTTCTTAGCCAGTGAACTCTCAGAAGTACCACCCATGCTATCGCTATGTCTAGAGTCACAAGGGACTCTGCCTTAGCTTCATTTCCAGTTACTGTGACAAAACACCCTGACGAAACAACGTAGGGGAGAAAGGGTCTATTTCAACAGTGGAGAAGCCGCCGCCGCCGCCGCAGTAGCAACTTGAGGATGCTCATCCTATTGCACCGTACTCAGAAACAGGGAAAGGAATGCATGCAGTACTTATGCTCAGCTTGCTTTACTGTACAGTCCAGGATCCAAACCCAGGGAATGGTCCCACCCACCATGGGTGTGTCTTCCCACCTCAATTAGTGTTATCAAGATACTCCCCATAGACCTACTCACATAGACTGTCTTTCAACTGAGACCCTTCCCAAGTGATTCTAGATTGAAGTTGACAAAATTAGTGATTGCAAACTACAGTTTTGGGGGATAGGGTAGCTGGAGCCACTGAATACACCAGGCTGCTTGCTTCAGGGATAAATCCTTGTTTTGCTCTGGCTAGGGACACCTGGTTTCTGCAAGCTGATCGGAGAGGGGAACACAGGGAATGGGGAAGGAGAGAGAAAAAAAAAAAATTGAGAACCTAGGGTGCCACCTGGAGGACACTTGTGGGACTGCAAGTACAGGAGTAACCCAGGCCACAGAGCTGAAAGTCTCCCCAGGACAAACCTGGCGTTGTGCACACTCCTTTAATCCCAGCACTCAGGCAGCAGGGGCAAGCGGGTTTCTGTGAGTTTGAGGCCAGCCTAATATACAAAGCAAGTTCCAGAACAGCCAGAGTTACATAATAAAGAGACCCTGTCTCAAAAAAAAAATGTGGACAGATGAAGAATTAAGGCCCCCTGCCACAGTACCCTTCCCCCAGATTTACCAGTATCTTTGGACAGAAAATTCGTTGCAAGACCTGGCATGATTGCTGGGGCTGCTGGGGCATTCTTTGGAGAGGACTATAGCTTTCATGATCTAATTGGCATTCTCTTCCCTTAGGGACCTTACATAGCACATTGAGACCCCGAGTGGTTATTGTTTGTTTGTGTTTGTTTGTTTTGAGACAGGGTCTCCATAAGTAGCCCTGGCTGTTCTGGAATTTGTTATGTGGGCCAAGCTGTTCTCAAATTCACAGAGATCCATTTGTCTCTGCCTCCCAAGTGCTTAAAGGCACGCAGTTGGACCCTGAGATCTTTAGAGTTGAAGGGTCGTTAAGGTTGTTCTTCTGGACCCAAATGAAGTTCTCAAAGGGTAACTGAGGCCTTCCCACACCTGGGGGACAGACGCCTGGAGGTCAGCCTGCACTGCCAGCCCAAAAGCCCCAGGAAGTGATCACAGACCTCAGGTTTTCCCTTTGCTCTCAGTGATTGATCATGGAAATACCCAGTTTTAGCCCTACTTCAGAGAAACTAGAGACTTTTTGGTGAGGTACAAGGAACCAGCTAGTGTCACTTCCCACTTGGTGGAAATGTCTCCCATGAACTTAAGGCCAGAGCTAAGCCCATGAAAGGCTAGGTATAGAGAGAAGCTAAGTGGAGTCACAGGATCCAGTCCTTGCTGTGTTTGCTTTTTAAATTTCATTTTATAAACCAGGCAGCGGTGGCACATGCCTTTAATTCCAGCACTCGGGAGACAGAGGCTGGTGGATCTCTGAGAGTTCGAGGCCAGCCTGGTCTACAAGAGCAAGTTCCAGGACAGGCTCCAAAGTTACAAAGAAACCCTGTCTCAGAAAAAAAAAAAATCATTTTATAGTTGTTCCTGCTATGCAATAAAAGAAATATGAAAAATACCAGAACAAATTAAGTGCCCATAAGAAAGGATTCACTCAGGCTGGGCAGTGAAGATGCAGGCCTTTAATCCCAGCACACAGGAAGCTGAGACTGGCAGATTTTCTGCGAGTTCAAATCCAGCCTGGTTACGAGTTTGGGATAGGCTCCAAAAGACACAGATTCTCAAACAAAAAGAAAAGGAAGGATTCACTCCCAGTGTGGTAGTACACACTTGTAATCCTGGTTTTTTGTTGTTTGTTTGTTGTTGTTGTTTTAATATGGCCTCACGTAAACCAGGCTGGTCTTGAACTTATAGAGATCCTCCCACCTTTGCCCCTGAGTGCTAGAACTAAAGGGATAGGTCACAACACCAAGCTGTTTTTTGTTTTGTTTTTGTTTTTCGAGACAGGGTTCCTCTGTGTAGTAGTTCTGGATCTTCTGGCACTTACTGTGTAGACCAGGCTGACCTAGAACTCACAGAGATCTGCCTGCCTCTATCTCCCAAATGATGGGATTAAAGGCGTTTGTTGTTTTTTAGGAGGGTCTTGTTATACAATCCAGACTGGCCTCAAACTTGAAGCAATCCTCTTCAGAGGGCCTCAACCTCTGCGGCCCTGCTCCGCCACTTGGATGCTGAGATTATAATCTTAAACCTTCAGGCCTGTCTTAGAGGACAGTTTTAGGAAGAACACTTCACTGTGCCACTAACTCCACTGCCCCTTCTTAGCTGTTGTCGCCTCTGTGACTTTGTCCTCCTGCATCAGCCCTTTAGTTACAGTGCACTCTAGGGGGTCAGCACTCACTA